TGTTTTTTTTTTTTTTTTTTTTTTTTTTTTTTTTTTTCGCCAAAATGCGATTGGTACAACAATAATAGGTCTCATTTACGCGGGGTATTTTCTGTATGAAGTCTATGAACTATTTTGGGGGACGACAAGCTCGAATATCTGCCTAATTTTTTGGACAGTCACGCGGAACTGCAAAAAATGTTTCACTTTTGATTGAACTTGTTTCATGAGGAGGTAGATTGCCTACGAAAATTTTAATATGAGACGAAAATGATTTTGCCTCCCATATTATCAGTCGAATGAGTTTTGAAGAATACCAGAGATAGAATTTTTCTTCATCTTCTTCGACAGTTGGTCTCTTCTTCAAGAACGTTTTCGTTGTTTACTTGATGAATTGCCGCTTTTGTGCTGTATCTACCTCCTTTCCATCTATGCTATGGCGAAATAATTTTTTTATTCCCTGTTTTAGCTTGTACCTTTTTTGAAATGTTGCTGAGCTTTCATTTATTGCCAAGAGACGAGCGGTACAATAATTACGGTATAAGTCATATTTATCAATAGTTTATTGTGGGGAAATTTCAGCTTAAGTGTTGGTGATCCCCGCGGAACTGCAAGAAAAGTCTAACTTGTTTCATGAGGAGGTAGATGACCTACGAAAATTGAAAACCGAGATAAAAAATGATAATTCAACCTCCTATACGCGGAGACTCAATAGGCTTCTTCCTTTTTCCGTTTTGGAAGTGATCATGTCATGCAGATCGTGTTGAGTCGTTTATTCGCGCAATCGTTGGGCAGCACTTTGCCTCGACATTTCATCAAGTGCCGCCGTGTTCCTAATGTGTTGCCTGTAATTTTGAGTCGGCGTGAAATCGTCAGAGGGAACAATCCATGCGAAATGGATGTCGAAAAAGTTGAACGTCAAAAAAGTGAGTAAAATGCATTATTTCTCTCAATAAATTTGGTTTTCTTGGAAGAAATCCTGGATATTCCCTTGATTCATTTTTCTATAATTATGTGTTAAATCTGAAATGCTGTGCGAATAACTTGAAGCTAACACTTTTAGAAAGCAGGTAACTAATTCTGATTGCTATCGAGGATAATTGAATAATTCTCATCAACTTGAAAAATTCAAGTAGTATTCAATTCTACCCCTGGTGTAGTCTATTATTCGAATCGTGGTCCACTATCTGAATCGAAAATCAGTGTGAGGCTGAGTTCATTATTCGAGGCATCTCTGAAGATTTTTCCACTGAAAATGGGACTTGTTTTGCGTTTCGATTGAGCTTCCAAGTGAAATTCTGTTGAATCATTTAAATCTTTAAAAAGCTTGAGACATATCCCTGACGAATCGGGGATTTTAAAAATTACAATTGGACTCTCTCTACAACGATTTTCTTTGTACAGCGAATTTTTTGGTGTGGTTCCATAGGGTATTTTCTCTGATCTCTTGAATTTTGTTGTAGAGAGAAGTTCAACCGTATAATTCTCGTCGTGTTCCTTTCTGTTCAATGCTGTATTTACAATATTTTGCTATTTTTTTCTGAATAGGGGAATTCGAATTGCTGAAATTGAAAGACCGACGCAAGAAATATTCCTGTGGTGATGGGTTCGTCTGCCTAGAGCAGATTCAAACCTGGAAAGAATACTTCCAGAACCGTCGTGATGTCATTGAA